AGAATGCCCATCAAGAACTGATACTGAGATGCCTCATCAGCAACCCAAAACTAACTTAGATAACTTTGGTGTCCTGGTAAAAGCTTTGCTCAACCAGAAACACAGTCAGTCCAATCAGCCAATCCCCAAACACCAGCCAACTCTGGGTGTTCTCACCCCAAATAAGGTTGACAAAATAGCCCCAGCCAGATATTTTTAATTTTCCTCTTCCTTGTTCTTTATTCTTTATCCTGTAAGAGCTTCCTGCTTTCTGCTCTATTTTGCAGTTTTCCAAGGGAAAAAGTATATCGTCAGTACATAAGGCAGGGGGTCCATCCCTAAAAAGCCCCTGAGATCACATATTGAAGATAAATTATTTTCTCAAACTAACCATTCTGTCCCAGAAATTTGGAGGCTTTAAGAAGATACTCTGGATCTCTCTTCCCTTAGGTGTCTTCTCATGGAGCAACCCCACCCGGGTATTTAACCAACTTGACATTTGCCTTTTTATGGCCTCCTTTCCTCCCTTGTTTTCAGTCTTTATTCCTCCAATCCTTGTCTGCTTTTATACTTTTTTTTTTTTTAATCTTCTGCATTCCTGCCCTAACCTAATCTCTGTTCCATGCTATCTATTCTGATGTATGGCATTCGGTAGACCTGACTTAAGCACCAAATTCTCATTACAAACCTCAGTATATAATGTTTATGCTGTTTCGAAGCCATGAAGTGATCATCTGACCTATACAGATACACTAAATTCCTGACCTTCTTGCCAATGCAAACTGACTCTGGATCCTCCTACCAAAGCATCCAGCAGTGTTCTTGCTTCTGTAGCATCCTTGCTGGTAAAGCTGGTGACCACCTTCTCCTCCCCAAACCAGGTCTGCTGTATCTCCCTATGTGTGTGGGGTATGAGATTCTCAAAATCTACCGTACCTGAACAAGGAAGCTCTCCTCTGTCTTTAGTTTACACAATTGGCACATGTATTTCCTGATGGATATTGAGCTCACTTGTGGGAAGATGCCATTATTTAAAGCAGGGTGTCTAATATCAAAGTCCTCAAAGTCTGCCTCTGCTTTAATTTGAGACGGGTCTATTTGGCAAGTTTTCTTGCTGTCAATCTATACCCTGTTCTTGATAGTGCCTCCCCTCCTCAACATGATTTATGCTGTTGAGGAGTAAACACTTCATGCAAACACAGCAGAAAGAGGAAGCTGGCTGGAGCCTCTGAGGAGAGCAACAAAGGAAACAACCCGTCCTGCAGTCTTGAATGAAACCACGACATCTGCCTCTATTTCCACAAATCTTCTGCTTTTTCTTCCAAAATATATCTGCCTATTAGGGGAGGTAAAACAGATTTTTGCTTTTCACAATTCCAAAAATCTGCAACGGAAAATTGTTCATAAGCCCTGTTCTGGGGGGAGCATTTGGGATATGCTCATATGCACCATCACCTCTTGACTGACATATCACTGTCTTTCTCTGTAAATTCCAATAAGCCAACTCTCTGTACCCTACCCTGCTCTGTGTTACCTTGTTACCTGTGGTGCACCTTCCAGGAAAAGAGACACCAGAGCCACTTACTGATCTGCTCGACGGTCTTTAGTTCATCAAAGCCATAGCTGTGACCCTGGAATGAGGAGCCTGGTGCAGGTCCTGGTTCTGAGGCCACTTCTTTAGGTCACACCCAGAAACCCAGTTTCAAGGAGCATTTGTTGCAGAAGGTTCTCCCCAAGGCCCATTTCTGCCTCCTCCCTCCTCCTTTTTCTCCTAACCTTAGGGGTTCGGAGTTTAGAAACAGTGATCTCCCAGGATCTCATCCTGGTCATGGTTTGGGCGATAGTCTTGTCATCGGGAAGGTGATTCACTTTAAGCATTACATGTGGTTCGGAAACAAAAAAGGGGGGTGGGAAGAATGACCTTTTAAGTCTAGTTTTTGTGGGTTTTTTTTTGTTGTTGCTGCTTATTTATTTATTTATTTATTTTTGTTACAGATATTTATCTTTTTCCTTCACTGATTCCCCCTCTCCCCTCCCTCCCTGCCCTGTCCCTAGATTTGTTGTCCATGTCCACTGTTCATGCATACATGCATATAAGTTCTGTGGTTTATCTCTCTCCCACAACCACTTCTTCGGGGATTGTCAGTCTGTACCCCACTTCCACGTCTCTGGGACTACCCCTTTCCTCAGACTGTTATGTTCATTATATTCCACAAATAAGTGAGATCATATGATTCTTGTCTTTCTCTGTCTGGCTCTTTGAAACTCCCAGAACCTTGTCTCTACACTGAAGAATATGTGACTATTAGGATCAGGGCAGGGTATTATATTGCTCTGTTAGGAAAGTTTCTTACTCTTGTGATGTTCAGCTGGGGCCATAATGATCTCAGAGCTCTGCTCTGTTCTACAGGACTCTTGTCTGCTCTCTTTACCCATTTCTGCAGACAAGGAAGGACAAAAAGGGAATAGAGAAACTTCTGAGAGTGTCAATCAAATATGCCATTTGAAGCCGTTATAAAAGATTTTGCTATCTTAATATCCTTTATTTGTTTATTTATTTATTTATTTTAAATGATATTATTGGTTTTTTTTAAAGAGAAATGGAAAGATAGAAACATCCATGTGAGAGAGAAACATCAATTGGCTGCTGCACACTCCCTACTGGGAATTGGGCCTACAACCTGGGCATGTGCCCTGACTGGGAATCAGGACCTCTCAGTCTATGGGCCTACAGTCAATCCACTGAGCCACACCGGCTGGGCCTACTACCCTTTATCTTAGTCTTCTATGGCAGGTCCCAGGATCACTGAGGCAAGAGAAAAAATCAATAAATATTTCCTTTGATGTGGCTAAGAAACCCCTGAATTAATTTCCGAGTTCATAAGGACAAGGTGAACTGTGACTTAAAGAGTTGTGTTCTTGCCCTGGCCGGTTTGGCTCAGCAGTTAGAGCATTGGCCTGTGGTCCAGAGACCCCTGTTCAGTTCCCGCTAAGAGCATATACCTCCATTGCAGTTTGTCCCTGGCCCAGGTTGGGGTTGTGTGCGAGGCAGCCATTCTTTATGTGATGTTTCTCTCTCTCTCTTTCTCCCTCTCCCTCCCACTCTACCTGAACAAAAATGGAAAAATGTACTCGGGTGAGAATAAAAAAAAAAGAGTCGTGATCTTATACATTTTAGGGTATTAGATGAGAACACAATTTAGGGTTCCTGGATATATGAAGGCATTATGGGGCATAGTAATAGAGACATAAACAGAAGACCCAACAGACACACACAGAGAGAGAGCTAATTTTAAGTTTCATTCATTTTAATTAAAAAAAATGTATTTTATTCAAAATTTTTTATTTATTGTAATACAGTAGGTCAAAAGACCTAAGACATCATTATCCTCCTGGAGCACACAGTCTAAAAGCTATGAAAAGAGAAATACAAATGTCACACACAGTTACACGCACCAAGCCAAGTTGAGTGTAAACTAATAAATACATTAATAAATAACCAAACAGTTGCTCTAACCAATCTGGCAAAGATCACTTACGAGGTGGGAAGCTGCTCTAAAGATCAGGTTTTGTGTTTGTTTTCTCGTGTTACTCATAAATCTCAGGAGTTCTGGAAAATGTTCACCTTTCTATGACCAAGAGTAGGTGTAGCAGGCAGAGGCCACTTTCAAAGCCAGGATAACAGAGCTCAGAGACAGCTTCTACTATAGGAGGGGAAGTGACCAGTCACTCAGCAGTCCCATGCGGTGTAATCCTAGCATTCCATACTCCACCTTCTCTTCATAAGAATATCTCTTTGATCCACTTTAAAACTTGTCACCAGAATCATGGGTATTGGCTCTTCAGTGGACCATAAAAACACAAACTCCTCCTACTGTGCATAGACTGTGAACAAAATCAACTTCAAAAAAGCCCTGGCCGGTTTGGTTGAGCGGTTAGAGCGTCGGCCTGCGGTCCTGAGAGACCCGGGTTCGGTTCCTGCTAGGGGCGCTTACCTCGGTTGCAGTTTGTCCCCGGCCCTGGTCAGTTGTGTTGTGCGGGTGGCAGCCATTCGATGTGTTCCTTTCACATCGATTTTTCTCTCTCTCTTTCTGTTCCTCTCTCGCCCTCCCACTCTACCTGAACAAAAAATGGAAAAATGTCCTCTGGTGAGGATAAAAAAAAAAAAGATATTTGGGGCCAGAAAAGATCATTTTTGTCACAGCCTTGCCTCCATCCTCCCCTTTCGTCCCCACTGTCACATTTGGCCAACTCCTTCTCAACTCTGTTATTTTGCACATTTCAGGGGCAACCATTTAACCTTACCTATAACATACTTCCACACTGGACCTTCATACCACTTTACTATCTTAAAATACATACCTTTGTTCAGCAATATCTGGGACTGATTCATCAAGACAATGGCCATATGCATTAAGAATTATATCTCTGTTTACTATTATATAATTATATTTCTGTTGTACTATTTACATATATTATTAGCAAAAATGATATTTAACCAATGTTTATCAAAAGTTTAACTGAACATACTTAGGTATACTTTCCCTGGAGTTGGCCTAGAGAACTGAGGACAAGGTCAGGCTCATTGCTTCACTTAGTGCAGTTCTCCAGATGGCAACTAGCTCCATGCAAGTGAGAAAATGGATGAAAGTGGAGGTGAAGAATGTAATTACTAGGTATATCAGAGCCAATACATGCAGAACATATGAGGCAATAATGAATTTGACTCAAACACTGGTGATCCATACAATAGTTCTAAGAATAATATTTCAGGTGCCATAGACTCAACAAACAGGGCTAGTTATCTGGGAGAATAGTAAATGAGTGAAAATTTGAGATACATGCTTAGTGCTGTACATACATCATATACAACTTAGCAATAAGTAGGCAGGATAAGATGATATTTTAAATAGCAGAGAAGTTGTTTTCCGTGGGCATGCTTTTCTCTAGTTGTTTCTACCAACTAGGTGTCAGCTGTTCCAGGTTTCCTGAGTTATTCCTCAAAGAACTACGAGTCCAAGTTATGCTCTAGTACGAGGCAGAGAGAATAGGCGGATGATTCCTCTCTGGATCTGCTGGGTCTTAATGCTATAGATGACAGGGTTCATGAAAGGGGGGAAAAGGAAATAAATGTAGCTCATTGTGATGTGGACCACATGAGGAACATGTCTTCCAAATCTATGGATAAGTGTCAGACCAACTACAGTGACATAGAAGACCAGGATACAGCCGATGTGGGAGACACATGTGTTGAGAGCCTTGGCCCTTTCTTCTCCAGAAACAAGACCCATGACAGTCTTGAGGATCAAAATATAGGAAAAAGAGATGATAAAAAAGTCCAACAAAACAGTTGCAAATATAAGAACAACTGGATAGAGATGATTGAAGGTGATATTAGCACAAGCTAACTTTATGATATCTTGGTGTAGACAGAAAGCATGAGAGAGTACATGATGTCGACAATAGGGAAACCAGTGAAGGCGAATAATTATTGGCATAATTGATAGACTGGCCCTTGTCAATACTCCCATCCCAATCTTCATTACCCTAGTGTTGGTAAGGATGGAAGTATACCTCAAGGGGTGGCAGATGGCAACGAAACGGTCATAGGCCATGGCAAGCAAAACACCAGACTCCACGATAGAAAGAGTATGAATAAGATAGGCCTGAAAGAAGCAGGCTGCACGACCAATCTTTCTGTGATTCAACCACAGGACTCCCAGAACAGTGGGCATTGTGGTCAATGTTACTCCAAGGTCTGCAGCTGCCAACATAGCCAAGAAATAATACATGGGCTCATGAAGGTTGTGATCATCTCTGATGAGAAAGAGAATGGTGCCATTACCGAGAAGTATGGAGATGTAAACCACCAGTAATGGAAAGGAGATCCAGTGATGTGCCTTATCCATGCCTGGGAAGCCAGTAAGCAGAAATGGGGAAGTGGTGGTATTGAACGACATCGCAGGCCTTGCAAAGCAGAAAATATTTCCTTTAGATAATGCAATAGAATCTCAAGTTCTTTAGAAGTTGCCTTTTGAATGTGCTACCTGTTCATTAGGTATTTATTAGTCTTGACTTCCAGAGACAGTAAGGATGGTAGTTTAGGCATTCCTTAGTAATTATTAGGCATTGAAAAATAGGCGGTATAAAAAACAACTACAAATTATTGAGAATTGCCTATACATAAGGTTATAGAACAATATTCTGGGATAAATCTATGTATACAGAATAGTCCTGGTTAATACTCTTACAAATTATATACCCTAGAAAATAAAGACAGAATGAAGAAGAAATCACTGCATTTCACAAGTGCCATAATAGTGTTGCAATTGTAGGGTGTGTTTCACGGTGCTTGTTATCTTGACTGGTGGTATCAGGGAGGATAAGAAGGTTTTCCAGATCTATAAAACCTAGACGATCAGTAGAAAATTGGTCCTGAGCAATGTGGTAAGAACAAGTACAAACATCCTAGGGCAAAACAAACAAACAAAAAATAAATAAATAAGCAAGTGAATAAAAACACTGTGGTACCCTTACACAATGGAATTCTACTCTACTGTAAAATGAAAGAAAAATTTATTATTTGCGACAGCATGAATGGACCTAGAGAGTATTATGCTAAGTTAAATAAGCCAGTCTGAGAAAGATACGTACCATATGATTTCAGTCATATGTGGAATTTAAGGAACAAACAGAACTACCAAGCCAAAGAGAGAAAAACTCATACATAGGGAACAGGCAGACAGCTCTGATGCAGGGAGAGATGTTAGGGGGAAAGGGGTTGATCAAAAGAGAAAAAAAAAGCTCGGCCAGTGTGGCTCAGCAGATTGACATCATCCCATATACTGAGAGGTCCCAGTTCAACTCCGGGTCAGGGCACATGCCCTGGTTACTGGCTCAAACCCCAGTGGGGTTTGTGCAGGAGGCCACTGATCGATGTATCTCTCTCACATCAATTTTTTTTATCTCTGTCTCCCTTCCTCTCTCTCTAAAAAAAATCAATAAAAACATATTTAAAATAAAACAAAGAGAGAGAACTCATGGACATGGACAACGGCATGGTGACTGTGGGAGTGAGGAGGGCTGGGTAGAGGTGGAATAAAGCGTAGAAGGGATAATGGTGATGAAAAAATGAAACAGAATTAGGTGCTTTGAGGGAGTAACTAAGACTAAATATATCTTGAGGCACAATTCAACTGAGGAAATTCTAGAGACTTGAGAGTCTAAAAATGATATGAGTTAATCATATATGTTTCTTTTCAAAATACAAACACCTCAAAATCCATGTTTTCTAATATAATAATACCTCAGTTGTTATTATACTGTGTCTCAGAGAACTTAAAATTTCATAACATAGATATAAAAAAAGCAATAGAAGGTGGATTTTATAATAGGCATTTGAGAGCACTATTTGTTAACACTACAAGACCAATTACTGTTGCATATCACCTATTTGCAGATACAAAGATTGCAATGATTTAAGCAAGTTTAAGGAAAACATTTTTAAAAGCTATAACGTCTGATGAGATTTAACAAAAGTAGGAAGGCTCTGTAACATTGAAATTTTGAGGTTTCTTCTGGTGCAGACAGCCATTCTCTGGGAGTAAAAAGAGTGTGAATTGATTAATGTTTCTAGCATTAACCAGAGAAAAATGGGGCCACCTTCTAATATGGTTGGTATGGACAGTGCATCTCAAGTGCTTTAAAAAAAAAATCTTGATGTAAATTTAATGCTTCACTCCAGGACACATTTTGTGCATGCAAAAATTTCTTCAAGATTACTGGGCTTTTACCTTGGGAAGAATTTGGTTGAAGTTCTAGTTTTGCTACTGTGTAACAATCATCATATTGAGAACATCACTTAACCATGAGCTTTGGTTTCAGTATGTTTAAATGCTACTAGTAATTTCTGCCCAGTCATGCTCTTGACACAGGGTGTCAGAATGGAATGGAAGTGCAAAAGGGGAATTGCTTTGCAAAAGTAAGTTTTTCTTCACTTTTGAAGTTTTGTTGTTATTACTGAGACAAGCCTTCCCACTGTTAATGGGTATATAGCAGGATTAGTCATTGATTCTGAGATTTATCAAATTGATTAAGAAGCCAGGTGTACAGAAATTAGATAATGGAATTTTGAGGAGGTTGGAGCTGACTGTAAATAAGAGTATTACACTAGAAACCGTCTGAGAAGTGGATAAAAGATGATAGGTCTGAGCAAAAAAGAAAAGGGAAGAAGGAAAGTGAATGCAGGACCTTCTGATGGTGGCTGCTGAAGGCATCATGCCTGAAGCACCAGCCTGGAGGATAGAGTGAGTGGTCAGATAGTGACTTCTCTCCAGAAAGGGTTTGAACTGGTGATTACAGAGCTACCTCTTCTCACAGTTTTAGAAGAGATTCTTTCTTTGGTACTTATCTGAGGGATAAACAACTCTGTGTTCACGGGGGTAAAAAGAGAAGAAATAGCTGACTCCTGCCTGTGAGTAAAAGGCTAAGAAATGCTCAGCTTATTTTGGGTTAAAGAAGCAGGAGTGGAAGGCACCAAGCAAGAAAGAGAGAGTTAAAAAGCAAATACAAGAAACAAATAATAGTTGAGTTCCAGTACATGTCAGGGCACTAGAACATTGCATGGGGCTCATTTTTGCTGTAGAAACATCACAATAGTTTATTTCTCCATTCATAGAATCACACTATTTTCATGTCCAAGGTGGCAGATACATTACACAAATTACAGCATCCTTCATGTGCACTACGCCTGAGAAAGATTTCAGGAGTGGGTGAAAATTTGGTAGTATTTGGGGATGCAACAAAACTTGATTTCTTTCTTTTTTGCTTCAATATTGAAAAACTGAACATTTTTATTTGATTTACTCAGTTGTTTTGGGGGCACAAGAGATTATCTGTGAGTTTTGAAATGGTTAAAAATCCTAGATGCTTCCTCTGCCCTGCAACCACTCACCATTCTAAGAGCCTCTGTCTTAGAGTGGACTTGGCTTCCCCAAAGTCTCAAACTCTGACACATGAACTGGGGGCCCCATGCAGATACACTGCTCAGACTTTTACCACACACTCTCCCTCACCTTCCGTTGAGCTCCTTCCTTCACTTTCGGTGCCACTTCTTTTTCTATCTCAAATACTTAATTCCTCTCCCCTTGGTGTGTTCCTTTGTTTTATCTCCTACCCTTTGGCCCTTATCATTCCTTTCTGTATAGTTCAAAATTGTAATCCATTCATTGTTTATTCTGTCTACAAGGCTTCCCATGGTTTCATTCGCAATACTTAATTTTTCTCTCAATGCCCAGCATAATAGTGTGTTCTTTTCCAGTCACTGAATGATTGTTTTGCCCACACACACAGATTGGTCTTGATCATCTTACGGACCTGATTTTTAGCAGGTTCTCAAATCATCAAAGCACATAGATTGACTGGTATAACCTACCAAGTTGCTGATTGACTGTCTGAATACATAGCTGTGTGTCAGCACCTGGAAATGCCCTGAGGGTTGTTAAAAGGGATATGGAATGAAAAACTCTACCCTATTTTCAGTTCAGGGGGTATTAAATATCCATTGCATTCTGTACTTTCCAAGTGCTGAAGATATGCAATTATGTAAATCACCATTTCTTATCTGAAAGCCCACATAGTCCAGGGCCCATCCTAGATTAGTTTTGACTTGGTTTATTAGTTTTGAGTAGTGGTCAGATAATGACTTCTGACTAGAAAGTGTTTGAACTTCTGATGATTACAAAGCTACTTGTTTTTCTAGTTTTATAAAGATTCTGTCTTTGGTACTGATCTGGACTTCTAGGGGAAATCACAGGGTCAGAATGATGCCCGAGATGTTGAAAGTTCGGACACAAAGAGAGCAAGAAATTGAAACACATAACTCAGCACCGAGTTGACATCTATCATCTGGTTGCTCCCACAACTTTTCTTTGGTTCATGGGTTCCAGAATTTATCCAAGCCCTTATTTTATAAACCTTTGTATATAATTTTTAAATAAAACACATTTTAGAGCTTAAGGAGAATCTTAAGGACCTGTGCCTATTCTCTACATACTCTTGACAGATAATACTATCACTTTTTTCTCCTGAGAAATCAGCTCCCTGTTTCCTGCCCTCTCTATCCTGGTGCCTGCAGTGAGGTGTCAGAGAGAAGATGCATGAGATACCTTCACTGACCTGAATTTTGGTTCTCTCCCATTCTTTAGTTCCATAGTCTTGAATCTGGAATCCTTAGCCTTGTCAAGGATTCAATCACAACACCATCATTTTCATAATATGCACACAATCCTGGCTGGTACAAACACTTATTTTAGAAGCTCCTCTCCAGGGTTCATTCCTGATGTAGGTGACCCATTGTCCCTCCCTCATTGTCCTCCTCCCCTTCACATCTCCCACCTTCTATATTTGTCAACCCAATTTGCAGATCTGGGACTTTGAATATCTGGGGCTTTGAATAGCAGTCCCCAAGGTTTCATTCTGTGTCCTAGCTTTTTATGTAAGCCCTGTTGTTATGAGAGGGGTAAATTAGCTATAGCTATCAGGATATGGAAGAAAGCATAGATTAACTAAGGAACTGGACTAAAGCATAGTTCTTAAGGGACCACTTTTCCCTAGCTGACTATGAGAACTCTCAACCCCTGTCCCTATAATAAGGAATGTGTACAAATTATAAGAGAGCAACACATTAGTTTTGGTGAAGTAAAATAAGTCCTCCCACTCATCTTCTTTTTCCTAGTTTTGCTGTCTGGTTGCAGCGGATTGGAACTGAGAGCCCTGTCTCATGGAAAAGAAGAACCCCTTTCCAGTGCCTGATTTCCCCTCATTTCTCTCTCTACATCCTCCATCTACATATTCTCCATCACAAGATGGAACAAAATGGACAAAATGGGAGTTTGTGGTTTTTTTTTTTACTCACTCAGTGGTATGTGTGTCCATTACTCTTTCTTTCTTTTCATTTTCA